ATACTATCAATACTAGACCTATACTATCAATACTAGACCTATACTATTGATACTAGATCTATACTATTAATACTAGGCCTATACTATCAATACTAGACCTATACTAGCAATACTAGACCTATACTATTAATACTAGACCTATACTAGCAATACTAGACCTGCAATACTAGACCTATACTATCAATACTAGACCTATACTATTAATACTAGACCTATACTATTAATACTAGACCTATACTATCAATACTAGACCTATACTATTAATACTAGACCTATACTACAATGCTAAACCTCCAGTACTAGTCCTATACTATTAATACTATACCAATACTATTAATACTAGATCTCTAATACTAGACCTTTACTATAATACTAGATTTCTTATACTATTAATCTTGTGTCTCTAGACCTATACTATAATATTAGATCTCTAATACTAGACCTATACTATAATACTTGACCTTGGTGCGAATATTACCAGTTTTCATTATTCCATATATTCTTACTTGTGCATGAATCTCCTGTGATCATTGTTGCACTTATGCACAGCACAGAGATCTCCACGACCTTTTTTCACACTTGTTTACACACCATGTGCCCCTAAACAGGACCACAATGCTTTGCGCTAGATAAAGATGGTGGTATTCATTAAACGGCTCAGGTGTGTACAAATGTTATTATTTTATTTTTGTGCTCAGGGAGACTGATCATAAAGTGATCATAAAATGTTTTTGTTTATGAATAGACATATTGAAAATCTATGCTTAAATTAACAACCATAAATACAAAACACCTATGAATAAATATATATATTAAAAAAGACTACACACACAGACTCAATCTCAAAGCTAATCTAAACAGGTTATTAAAAGATTATGCGTTAAATCTACTTTAACAGTCAAATGGTCCCGTCTGCTGCCTTTTTGGAGTAACGAATACAAAAATTAAGTATTAGTTAAGAAAATTATAATACTACAGACTTATAACTTCAAAAAACATAGAGGTTGAAAAATAATTACATTTTTCCGTGTTTTTATCTTTTTATTACATTTGTCTAT